TTGTCTGCTTGAGCTTCCAAAATATTAAATAGTTGCACAAAATCACGGCTGTTACCTCTTTCATCTTAATCCTAATGTTATCATTTGGCTCTAAAACAGAAAACCGTAGAACAGCAGGCCTTAATCTGTCGGCACACTTTCACACACTGTCTGGTTTGTCTTCAAAGTTTTCAGCAAAGTTACACCCAGTATGAGAAAGAGGCTCGTAGAGGCCCTGATGGACTTCATTAACTTTATCTCTGCTTCTGTTCTGAGTGGCGTTGATGAGTTGAACAGAGAGTTATCCTCCCTGCTTCTCTCCGCTGATAAGTTGAGTCGAGATCCCCTCTGAGAGTCATGGGAGTGGCTGTCAGAGCGCTTGACTGGGGACTCAGCCACGAGAAACCCAGAGAACATGAGAGGCGTTGTGAGTACTGCGAGCGTGGGGCCGGTGAGCAGCGCAGAATAACATCATGTTTATTTAATGCAGTAGATGCCTCATTACTGACTGAATCTGTTGCTATTCGCTTATTTTCAATCTTTCCTCTCCCTCGGCGCTGCTAGCTGGGCTGGTTCAGGAGTTCAGTGACTCCCAGTTCTCACACACACACACACACACACACACACACACACAGTCTTTCTTTAATGAGGCCTTTCATTGTTTCTCACGGTGACCCAGTCAACATGTATGATTCAGACTCAAAAGAAAAAGGTGTGAGCTTTTGCACGTGTGCGTTTCTTAGATGTGTTTTTCCTCTCGAGTCAGCAAACCTTCAGCATAATTAAACCGCCTTCTTTTTGTTGTCAGCAGCTCTGTGATTTGGAGAAAGTTGCTCTGTCTGTGTTCAGGACAAACTGACTGTATTTTACTTGGATGCCTTTACTGCCTATTTCCAATGAATATATCTCCAGATATACTGTTCACGTGTGTTTTCGCTGTCACTCTGGTGTCTGACTGTGTGTAACTGTGTGTTTAAGGTTGGGCTATGTGGACCATGCTGAGGAGTTGGCCTCCAAGTTCCTCCAGTGCTTCCCAAAGAACCGGCTGTCAGCTCAGGCAGCGCTGAACCACGAATACTTCAGCAACCTTCCTCCACGGCTCTGGGAGCTGCAGGACAGTACGTAACGCATCATCATTGCCTGCAGTGTCGCCGCCATTTGCCACCATGTATTGAAATAGAGTGCTGATAGAGATTGCTGAGATCCTGCCTCTCTGCTAACTTTGTGTCCTTTTCAATTCTGTCTGCTCACTAAAGAAATAAAAAGTGCGAACAAGCTTCTGTTTGGCTGCATGAACT